AGTTCTCCAATAGAGGTGTTTGAACATTTTCTGACGAGGTAAAGATATTTTGTGTCACTCGAAGAGAAATCACACAGGATCAAAGCTATTTTAATATTTCTCAAATTGATATATTGTATAGATAATATTAAGTATCAAATTTTATGGTTTTACTGCGTGAAATCAAGTGTCATTTGATTGAACGCAGGAAGATGAAACGAAGAATTCAGTATAAAATGTTGAATAAGGTATTAACATGAAACAGAAATAAAACAATTCTGCCCCATTATGTAAGTTGCAGATAATACTATTATCATTTCGTCAGAAAATAATGAATGTTCGTAATGAGAGATATTCTCGAGTGCAAAAGGTTAATTCTTTGCCATACCATTTAACCGAGCAAAATCCGGGTCACAATTATAGCGACCGATATCTCACTCCTATTGTCACCTCGTGATATTTATATTTGTCCCAGAATTTTTATGACGAGTTAAACTCGTTAAAATGCGACGAGGGTTTATCTATTGTCACTTTGGTTATTCTGGAAGATTGTTGATTAGGAAGGTATTGTTCAGAGAAGAGGATTGGAGGAGAGTGTTAGACGACGAGAATACCTGTGAAAAATTTGGGATGAATGTACTGTAACGATACTTTGGGACTTGCGTTGGTTAAATGTTAATTATGCTGATCGGTGATCAACACGAGCTCTCGGAACTTTGGACTCCTTTTGCCAACCACCCTGTGTATAGACATGAAACTGTAAATGCCCATACCAATGTGTACATTCTGCAATATTTCATACATATTTTTTTATTTATCGAGTAGATGACGTTAATCGACAAATGATACAATAGATCACATCGAAACGGAGATTATAGCTTTACTCGTATCGTTCGGCACGGCGACCGATCGATCGTTCGCGGTCGGCCCGTGGATTCATCTGCGCGATCGTTGGACTGTGTATTTTCTAGGTAATTTCCTTAATTTCTATAATTCTTTATAAATATTCAATATTCCCAATGGGAAGTACTCGAGAGCCAATTAACAGAATTATCCCAGATTTCTCCTTTCCGCGACTATTAAAAAAATTGATTCTCTGGGAGTTATTAAAGAAATTGATCTGGCAATCTGCAAATCGAATCATGAAAAATTAAAGTCTCTATGAAGTTTCTATAGAGAAGTTTCAAAGTCAATTTCAGCTCGGTAGTTCCAATGTTAAACTACATCAAATTGTAATGATATTTGTTAAGTGAGAAACATAATCGATACTGAAACTATCCACAGAAATCTTACATTATCATCTCACATTACAGAATACGTGAATCGTCAACAGTTTTTAATCAAATCCAACGTCAATCTATTTGCTATTTCACGTTTTAACCAGTTAACTGCGTTCGACGAGTATACACGTCACCTTAAAGCTTGAAATGCTAATTCTTTCAACGATGAATTCCTTATTTTTCCAGACAAACATGTAATTCACCTTAATTTTGCTTTAGTTTCTCATTAAAATATACCCAAGGTGCATTCATCCTGTCTGACGAGTACACGCTTCACGTTTTTATTTTATTGCGCGTACAATAAGAGATTTTCGAAAGTGAATTCCACAGTTAACAGGTTAATATCCGTATTATAAAATCCGCAGTCCAACGAGCACGGATACCTTAGGTTCGATCAACACGTTGAATGCCGCACGGTTTCATAGAGCAAACTACCCAAAATAGAAAAAGCATAATATTTAATCATTTTATTGAATTGCATTATTATCACCGCGCATTCATCTAAGTAGCATTGTCCATAATATATAAATATTTTCAACTAATCATCGTTTCATCGAGTAAACTATAGTAATTCGATTTAGTTGGGGGTCACCCGTGGCCCCATGGCATTCGACGTGTTAAGATGTACAGTTTCACCGATGGTAACGGATTAATAGTTCGTCTGTTCGGCGACGTGCGCTAAATCGGCGCGATTAATCGAAAGCATCTGCCCCGGCCGCGGTGTTCCCATCGCGTCGGAGCACGATCACGCCGTAATGGTCAACGGGGACGTTGGCGTTGTATATCTATGTACGTAAAAGAAAAAGGGAAGGAGTTAATCTTTAACGCAACCGGTCGGCGCGTGCTGACAACACGCTCGCGATCGAGTTTCTCTCAGGTATTTAGCATGTTTATATCTAAAAGAAGGGGGAGAAAAACACGAGGATAAACGGGACACCTCTCCGCAATAACTAAATTCAGACGTACACCGTTCCGTACGGTGTGTAAAGCTCGTTTGTCCATGTTTCTCTTAGCAGCTTCCAACCGGTGCATAAACTTTTGTCATCGGATCTCCTCCACCAACGTGAAACGCGCTCCGGCGAATCGAATGCTTGCTGCACGCCGTGAAAAACTTTTCGATTTTTATAGATCGCATGGATCCCGAGCGACTCACTCGTCATCTTTCATCGTTCATTCCGAGATACTCGAGCTCGCGTCGAATAGGATACTCGTAGGAGGTCTCTGGGATTACGTACTGCTTATAGACTGGTTAACAAAGGTTTATTCTTGTTTTTTAATAAACGTGTAGTCGTCAGAAATTATTTACCTTTTGTAATGAAATTTTGATTCGATTGTATTAAGAAACTAGTAGCATTTGTAAGCATCTAAAGGATGATAGAAATACTGGTTCTTTGGATCATTTTTACAAGATGGCGGAGTGAAATTTCGAAATCATTGGATCGAGTTCGTTCTGATTTTTAATTGTAGATATTAATGGTAGGAATATAAAAGTCCTATAGATCGATACACCAGAATCAGTAGTTTAGTCAGGAAATTGATCTTCAGTAGTGATTTCTAGATTTCTACGTCCACTGCTGTGGCTGCTGAAAACTGCTTCTGGTAATCGAGTTTTTATAGATCTTCTTGCGTCAATTGGTTCCTTGTGTACTTCTGTTAGATGCTTCCAGTTGTTTTCAAGGTTTTATCGTTAACCAGTCTGCACGGAGTTCTCGCGACGACCGGAGATCCGTAGATTAAACATTTTCCGCTCTAATCTTTATCTCTTTCCAAGTCTTCGGTATTCTCTTGAACGTTTCGTATTCGAGTCTCGAGGGAGCTCCACGTTCGAAATTGTGAAATGGGGATTTTTATTCGTGTGTCGCGAGGAAAACGCCGTCGCTAGGCGGACCAGCGTCGACGGTGACGTTCCGTAGCAACATTCGCGAGCGCGTTCGCCGTTCGCGGCGTAAACGTTACGTGACGAGTGTGTGTTTGCGAAGATTACTGACGGAATTTTGTAAACACTCGCGTTTCATCGACAGCGAGCCAAACAGTATTATGTTCAGTTGCCGTCGTGAGTCCGTAGCGCTTTTTTCATAAGGAACCTTACTAACAAACGGAGTTACATGTGATATATGTCATTCGACAGTTCATCGCTGCCTTTGCAAGATCATATCATCGGATCTCTCATTTCAAACATTGAAACATCGACGTTGCTCTCTTCGAGGGATATCAATTATTTTCGAACTGTCAAAAGACAGACAGAATCCTCTCCGCAGGCAGCTCGAATGGTTTTGACAGCGTTTCGACTTTGATTGAAATTGAAGCAGCGAGTATGAAATATATTTCATCTGCAACCTGACGTTTGACCCAGATTTTCACTTAAACTTAGAAACATTAACCCGATTTTGTAGAGGAAAAGGACTGTGAATAATATGTAACATTCAACGCGTTGACTGCCACGGAAAGCTTCAGCGTTCGTGCGGTAAAAAGAAATGATTATCAATTATTTGGTAACGATTCTTAAGTTGCATTATCATCTACTTATTCACGCCGTTGAACTATTGGATGTATCTTACAAGGTATAATTGCAAGTCATTGAGAAGCTCCGGTCATCGGTGACAACCGTGGCAGTCAACGTTTAATGCGATTCGAATGACGCCGTGAAAGAGTACTGTTAAGAAAAATATGAAAAAAGTGTGCTACGAACTTGTGCAACGTGAAACATACAGGAGCGTTCTCGACCCGACAGCCAAGTGTCAGCGACGATTTCATTGCGGGACACGTTGCTCGATTACAAAATTACGTGTAACGAGCGACCGGTGTATTACGTAAGGAAGATGGCTAGCTGGTTATCGGTTGCCTTGCATCGCAACAGGAAAAAAAATGTAACGAAAGGAATTGCGGAAATGGATGTTGCCTGTTAATGAGAAATGAGATGGGGGCGGGGTGGAGGTGTACGATATATGTTTGAGAAAGACAGAGAAATACGTGATGTTTGTGTGAGAGAAAGAGAGAGAGAGAAAGAGAGTGTGCGTTGCGCCAGAGCAACAGGATTGTTACACCGTTGATCGTTATATGTGCATAAACGCTTCGGAAATAAAAAGAAATCTAAATCATGGAACGCTGTGTTTCTCTCTACGTCGGCCGAGTAATTAATTATCAATTACCGCGATCTATAATTCATCACGTGGGGGCGAGATATGGTTTGCTTATGTTTAGCTTGAGTTTGATTTACAGCGAGAGACAGTACTCCTGTAGTCTGTTTCTAAAAATAAGTGGTCTAATGTTTTAGTTCTCCGTCGAGTCGTTCGTCTGTATTTTATGATACTATAAACCATTGTATAAAATCTCATTTTTGATAATTATGTTATAGAAATCGTAAAGAAATTTTCTTTTCTAGTTATATAAAATTATTATATAGTGGAAATAAGGTAGAGATGATATTCTGTTTTATTTACATACGTTTCTTTGAATTTTACTGATTTACTCGATCATTCGTGGGATAATTCAATGTTCTATGACTCTGAAAATTTGACTAATTTACTCGATCATTCATGGGATAATTCAATGTTCTATGCTTCTGAAAATTTGACTGATTTACTCGATCATTCATGGAACAATTCAGTGTGTTATGCTTCTGAAAATTTGACTAATTTATTGGATCATTCATGGGATAATTTAATGTTTTCTTCCTGTGAAAATTTTACTAATTTACTCGATCATTCATAGGATAATTCAATGTTTTCTTCCTCTGAACAGCAGAAGATAAAGATAAATTTTCAGGTAGTAAAGGTTAAAAGCAGTTGGAACGTCATGGACGCTTCGCACAAGTCGACGTGTCGATCGATTAATAAGCAAACGATGTGTTTCACGCTGGTCAAACGTCATCGCCGTTGACGTGCTTCCATTTGGAGCGAACGTCGAACGTCTGGCGGCTCGATGGCCCGCAGCTGCGATCGCGAATCGCGACTCCGCGCGTCGAACGAGCAAGTTTCGCGCGTAACGTGAAAGGACACCACGAGATGCTATCTTCGGGGACGGAGAACTGGTCCACCCACTGGGAATTCCAGATTTTTTTTTTCTCCGACGACTATCTGCTAGGGAGGAGCACGGAGAACGCGCGTGGATCGATCCGCGTCGATCCCTGAGATCGAGAACGATCCGTATCTCGCTCCTCTGGACCGAGCTACGAACGCTGAAATTCTTTGAACGCAAGTCAAGAGGAGGAGAAAGAATTCGTTCTTAATTATTGCTTGACAAATGTGATCGATGAGGCAGACGAAAACAGTTTCTGGACCATCGAGGACAAGGTAGTTCGAACTTTTCAAATAAATCATTGATTCCTCGCGAGCTTATTCCTGTTGTGCTCGTATTTTGAATGTTTACACTCTTTTGATAAATCGATAATATTTTTGCTAGTTATTTCTACTAGTTTGCTAGCTATATATTTTTTCTAATTTTATTCTTATTGTTAACTCTGCACTCGGAAGCTTTTTATTAAAAACATTCGACACTTTTTAATACGATGTAGACATTTGAAAGGAACTAACGAGAAAACAAATTGAGAGCAAAGCTATTTTATATAAATGTTTCGCATTTTGATTATATGTAACTTAATATTATATATAACACTTTGTAAATATATTATATCGAATTAAATGACAGAGAGTCATCTCTCGAGTGCAAAGGGTTAATAGATTCCTTTAGGTTCCCGATAGTTTTCTTTAACCCCTTGAACCTACAATATCGTGACGAAAATTTTAAACTGAATTTCGAGAATCTAAGTGTTATATATTTTTTAAATATATTTCACTTAGCAATGTATTGCCTTTTATGTTTATCTTTTCATTTGTTATTTAGTAACTCTTGAAGTGGGATTACTTGCAATTCATCAAATTCATCTTGTTTTCCCCAAACAGAGTTTCTAACCGAATTAATTGAGCTCATTCGATTGAAGATAATAGAGGAGGTTGTAGTTATCATTTTAAGCGGTCGCCTAAGTGTCAACACTAGATTTACGGACGTTTATTCCACACTTTATTCTATTGTTTCTAGAAAACTACGTGTTCGTCTACATAAATCGCGAAAATTAACTTCAAAACCAGAGTATCGCAATCCGTATTCGCATAATTGCACGAATCAAAATCGACTCAACCTCTTGAGTCGTCCAGCCATTTCTGTTTCAAAATGGTCAACGATGTCTTTTACATTGATAATCTCGTTGCATCACGCACATTAGATTCTTCCGAAATGTATCACTCCATACAAAATGATTAACAAACGAAATTAACGCCCACATCCGCGTAAAATAGGTAAAAACAAAATTCATCGAGACTTTGTCAAACCTCTAAATTCGTTTCCAGCGCGAGTGGTTAAACTGTTACTAAATAATGTTTAAAAAATTCAATATCCGTCAAATTGACGGGTACCGTAAATCCAGTGTTAAGAGATAAATCGGTGCAAGGGGTGAATTGCGAACTTTCGACCTGTAAGCAGCCTTTCACCTAATAATAGAGACATAGCAGCTAGAAGATCGGTTTATGAATCTCCGTTTCTTAGAGGCGTATTCTTACGGTGTTCCAGAAACTTCGCGGACCCGCGCGTTTGTCTTGTTCCAACAACTGGAGGAATGGTACCCGGGGAGATTGGGTTCCATTTGTTTGTGTCCGAAGCCTGCGACTGCGGGGCTGAGGTAGAACGAAGCGGACCGTTTAATTCGCCGTGACTCGGTCGGTCGAACGGGTAACGACAGAAGACAAATGAAATCGAGCTGCGCGATTCATTCGTCTCGTTTCTATTCTAGCTGCTCTCACGGTTCCGCTGAACAATGATGGAACGAGCTGGTACCACGAGCAACGACGGAACCCGACTACGCGTGTTTCGAACCTAAAGAAGTATCCCGGAAGGTGGGAGTTGTACTCATAAGTATGTATAATGGAATCCCGACGTTACATACTGCTCGAAAGCTGAATAGAATAAATATTAACCCTTTGTATTCGTAAATTCTTTCGCTGGATGTGTTCTTCGTTTTCTAATCAGATATCAATGATAGGTTTTATTAGTGACATTAATAGAAATAATATAGAAATCGAGGGATAGAACTATTCTATTTTAACGTTTCATGGGTAATTACGTTAAATGAACTTTACTATTGTACAACAGAGTTTCTAATTTCGCTGTATCAAACAAAATGGCGACTGTGATTCACCTTTCGAGTGCAAAGGGTTTTATCCCTAGCGAAGATTAGAAATATAACATTTCTTAGATATTTTATTTTCCTTGTTAGTACAAAATTTGCATGTGTGAAAAATCGAGTAATTATAGGGTAGTTTCTTTGAGATTCATTAAAATGTCTAATATTATTCCTGGTGCAATATTGGAGCCTACAGAGTTCAAAGGGTTAATTCTTCGGTTTGGTTTTGTTCAAGTTTGTTTGAGGATATATTTCTTTCCTTCTTCTTTTATTATTGTTATTTTTTTTACAAAGGTTAAAAATTTTAGCTACTAGTCGCCAATGATTTTTATGTAATACTTATTTCATAGATATATGTTTTAGTAAACTTTATGTAATAGTAATCGTCATTCATAAATTACACTGTCACACTGTTCATCTGTTTCGTACGTAACTATATTTTACGGTCTATCTGTTCGAGATTTTATATGCCCCTAACATCATCTTCCATTTAAGTAGACATGTCACCTTCCCAACACTGTCTGCTATTCTCGAAACCATGTCATCCTGCAAAGATTATCCTCCACTTACCGAGAAGTTAATTCTGCTATGAAACATTATTCTCTATTAAACATTATTTACAACTTCCTTCAAACATTATTCTTCGTTCAAGCAATCGTATCTTCCTCCGAGTGTTATCCTTTACTGCGCGCAGTCATACTTTCTTGCACATCGTATTTTTAGATGTTGCGATCTCACTCTTCTCTAAACACTTCATTAATTTACACTTTCGTTCGATCAATCAACCTTTTATCGGTTCGTTCGGTATAAATGTTACCTTGGGAAATCATTCTTTCTAAAGTTGAAACGGAATTTCTTAAAATTTACCTTAATTTATTCAACTTGTTCAATTTATTCAAGATAGACTCTGTTTTAACAACCACTTCTCCAATCTCCAACAAAATTCATCAACAAAGACTCTACCCTAACAAACCACTTCTCCAACCATCACCAAAATTCCTCAAAATCTACCTTAATCGGTTCAAATTATTCAACTTATTCAACATATCTGTCTCAACCCTATCTCAACAAACCACTCCTCCAATCTGCCACAAAATTAATCAAACCATACTCCCATCATTTCTCATCAATCCATCCAACACAGACTCTACCCTAATAAACCACTTCTTCTCCATCTATCACCAAACTTCCTCAAAATCTACCTTAATTTATTCAACTTGTTCAATTTATTCAACATAGACACTATCTCAACAACCACTCTTTAAATTTTAAACAAAGTTCATCAAACCATACTCTCATCATTTCTCATCAATCCATCCAACACAGACTCTACCCTAATAAACCACTTCGTCTCCAACCAAAATTCCTAAAAATCTACCTTAATCCATTCAAATTATTCAACTTATTCAACATCTCTGTCTCAACCCTATCTCAACAAACCACTCCTCCAATCTCCAACAAAATTCAACACAGACTGTACCCTAACAAACCACTTCTCCTCCATCTATCACCAAACTTCAAAATCTCCTTCAACCATAAAACACGTCCATCCCATCGCCATCCGGCGAACCCGCTCCGCGTTCCTAGTATGTAACCGTAACAAAGCGGGCATTAGCCGATGGCAGGCCGGGGCGGAGAGCTCGCGCTGGCGCGCGCGCGCGCGGGCGACGGGGTAAAATTAGAGGTGCGCGGCTCGGTGCAATTATTAAAATAGAGTGACCGGTGTGTATCTGCGGGTCTAAGTGGATGTGCTTGACTCATCCGATGTAACGGATCGAGAATTAAGCCCCGGAGGTGGGACCGCCGCTCGCCGGGGATCTATTTGCCGACTGCCGGGAGCGCAACAGCTGGACGCAATCGAGGCGCAACTCGGGTCATTGCCATCGCTTTATCGACTGTTGTTGACTTTGGCGCCAGGACCAGGCATGCGAATCGTTGCGAAGGATGCCGGCCCGATTATCGGATTCATCTGATTCCAAAGGCGAACGCAACGTGACGCGAATCTTACGGACGCTCTGCCGGTGCCATTGAATCGGCCCTCGGCCACCCGGCTCAAGGCGAGTCTGCTCGGAACGCGCGACGAACTTGAAATTTGTTACTATTCATTCCGTTGAACGGCCACGCGGAATGGTTATCGTCGACTTAACATCTCAAACGCCTGGAATTTTTGGTTTCCACTTGCGTTTCGTGGCTGTAGACTGGTACCGAGTATTTCGGGATGCTGGAAGGATCTTTGAAATATCTACTGAGGATTTCTGATCGGTTTGTTGTGACTATTATCATTATATTAATTTGTAGTGATTTATATTATTATATAAACCCTCATTTTTGAGAATTATATTATGGAAATCAGAATGAAGACACTTCCTTTTCCGACAGTTATATAAAATTATGATTTAGTTTCCAACTGTGATCGATAGAACTTCATTAATAATTATTGAAAAAGGAAAAATTCTATGTATATTTTATATCTACGTTTGCCTTGTAATATAATCATTGATATCAGAAGAATATCTAATTACAAATCAAGGTAATTAGTAATATTCTTTGTTAAACTCTATTTCAAATCTTCACTACGTCTCACGTTATTACAAGACAAGGAGTTAAATATTTCAAAACAGTAGAAAATCCTTCAACCAGTTAAACGTGGAATTTAGTTTGAAAAATCTCTCATTGCGCGCAATAAAATCAAATAATGAAGTGTATACTCATTAAACACAGGCGAAATGCACTTAAAATATATCCTACCGAAAAACTAAAGCGAAACGAAGGCATGTTTGTCTCAAAAAATAAATCATCGTTGAAAAAGCACCATTAAGATTTTAAGATGACGTGTATACTCGTCAAACACAGTTAACCGGTTAACTCACTGAAAAATCTCTCGAATCGAAAGGAAACCTAAATAATTACTCCGAGGGCTGTATCAGCCTATCGATTTCCGATTCCTCGAGCCAAAAAACACAAGTCGCCCGGAATCGAAAGGAAACTTAAGTAATGAGTTCTCTAAAACGTAATTTTAGATTACCTATCAATCCCCGACATCTCAAGAGTAGATACCTAAAGACCGACTCGTATCGTACTCGGAAAAACGAGAACTTAGTAGTCTAAGAGCGAAATGCCCCGACGGCCGACTCCGAACCGCAACAAACTCGCCGGTCTGGTCAACACATCCTTTTTGCAGTCCGGCGAATCTACAACACCGTCCTAAAGATAGAGTGCGCAAGGTTTCAGGTAGACGGCTGCTATAACCAGATACGACGGCTTTGAAACATCACCGTGGGTCATTTTGACCTCGCTCGGCCGGTCCAAGGATTAAATTACTCGCGCATAATATAACGCGACCGGCCCTTCTTCCTCTTCATGTAATAAAAGGGAGGAACTGGAAAAAGATCAGCTTTTCGTTCAAGTGCACCTCTCCGGGAGCTTCCGAGTACACGTTCCTCCATTCTGGAGCAGGAGTCTGCGTTCATTGTTGGGATCCTCCTACCTGGACCGAAAGCATCAAGCCTCTTTCATCGGCGCGCGAAAACCCGAAAATAACGTGGACCCATTATTCATTGAGCTCGAGTCTTAGAGATATTTGGAAAGTGAAGGGATTCTAGAACTTTGGGATCCTGAAGTCTCTTTGGGGAGTAGCTTCGTTGAACGATGTTCTATGTATTGGGGAATGTTGAACAAGCAGCTTTGGAATAACACGTATTTGAGTTGTAAGGAGTATTGAATAATATGGTAAAAAGTTATAGTTATTAGTTATATATTTGCAAAGATATTTGGAAAGTGTAGGGATCCTGAAGTCTCTTTCGTTGAACGATATTCTATATATTGAAGAATGTTGAACAAGCAACTTTGGAATAACACGAGTTTTGAATAATATGGTAAAAAATTATAGTTATTAGATATACATATTTTTAAAGATATTTGGAAAGTATAGGGATTCCACAACTTTGGGATTCTGAAGTCTCTTTGGGGACTAGCTTCGTTGAACGATGTTCTACGTATTGGGGAATGTTGAACAAGCGACTTTGGAATAACACGTATTTGAGTTGCAAGGAACCTTGAATAATATAGTAAAAAATTATAGTTATTAGTTATATATATATCAAATTTGCTATATCAAAATTGCAATAACTTTGATGTACTCCAACAGCAGTTTAGTCAAATTTAAAAATTTACGCGATCTGAATTTAGTAACACCGAATAAAATATACTTTAGTTTTCTAAAACATCATTATTATTATTTCTTTTGTTAAGCTACGTGAAATAAATTTTCTAAAACATAATTTTGTGTAACAATATCGAGTCAGGCTCGTCACAAAAGTTTTAAACTGAATTTAACAAATCTGAATGTCATTTATTCTTGTTTTAATATAAATTAAATATTACTTTTCTATTATCAATCTTTACCATTTTGAGTAAACGTAGACAACAAATATCAACATTTTTTTTCCTAATAAATTATTGACGATAAACTAGTCGTATCGATCATAGTTCAAAAATAAATCACAAGTCAAGGGGTCAATTATACTGTCTAAGGTAATTGCGAAATATTTCTTACATATTTCAAGTTCCGAAACTTTCAGGACTCCTTCGGATCCTGACAAACGATCCCGACTAGACCCGATACATTCAGGTTCCCGCGCACCTTTATTCTCCGAGGATCTCTTGATCCCAGTTTTCAAAGGGGTGCTGAGATCCTGTATCCCGGAGGGACTCATTCAGGCCCGGGGAGATTTGCCGACTTGAATGACCCGATTTCTTCGAGGTAGGACCGTAACGTCATTCGTTCTCCCGATGTCACGTTCTTCCTGTCGCGGCGGACCGTTCAAAGGAATAATCAGGTCGGTCGAATTTGTCATGGAAATAGGTAAATATATTATTCTGTCGGGACGGGTGTATTTAGAAAATTCCGGAATCTTATTTTTGACTTGACAGCTGGCTTGTGGTAGCCTAGATTTGCTCTATTACGTACTCAAACGTTTAAATAATGTTTATAGAATTCAATAGGAGTGAAATTGACTCGTTCAAATCTAGTGTTAACACTAGAACTACCTGGGTCAAAATAACCCATTCCTAAATCCTTCTTTTCCAATTATTGGAAAAATAATAGATCCCTTTAAGAAATTGCTAAAGAAATTGTTTTACTAATACGCAAAAAGTTTTCAGTGATCTAAGTCTCGATAGATCTTTTGTTGTTTCTATAGAAAAATTTCGAAAACTCAACTTGACTGCTCGGTAGTTTTAGTGTTAACGAATCGTAGAAATGATAAAGTTATCAAACCAACCAAGTACTCTCCTTTCCGCCTAGGAAAACTCGATAAAAGATAAGTGAATGATGGGAAGAGCGGCATCAAGCCGTAACAGAAATTCGTGTTTACCTAGGAATCGAACGAGGCGTGTGGAGCAATCATCGTAAAACAACCGGCGCGAAAGCACGCCGGTAATTAGCCGGGTATGATCTCATATCTCGTTTATAAGTGGTTACATAAGGCGAGATGAAAACGCGCTGGTCGTGCTAATCGTGTGTACCGATTGCGCAACCTTCGGACTTCCTCTTCTTAAAAAGTAGTTCCCCCGTTAAATAGCACACCTCCAAGGTGTGTGTGTGTGTTATCGCAGCATAGTTAATATTTACTTAGCGAAGTACGAGTCAGCCGGCACGTTGAAATTCATTTACATCGTCGAAGGGAATCCAGGTTTAATCAGAGAAATTTCTCTTTTGATCGCTCGCTACGATAGCGAGTCCAAACTGTCTTGCTTACCTAATAATTCTGTAACGCAATTTCACCTTCCTCCGTTCTCCTCGAACGTTAACATCATTTTCGTCCTCCGCTATCTAGTTTTATCATCTTCTGCTTAGAACGCTTGTACCTGAAAGCAAAGAGACTGTTTCAATTATAATTACTAATATACATATCTTTATCATTGGAAGGATTGGCACAAATCATTTATTAACCCAAAGGAAACAGAAACAGTTTCAATTATAATTATTAATATACATATCTTTATCATTGCAAGGATTCGCACTGATTATTTATTAATCCTTTGCACTCGAGAGGCGATTCACTTAATTTCATGCAGCGAAACTATAATATTTGATATTTAATATTATACTCTCTATAATGTATGAATTTGAGAAATATTGAAATAGCTTTGTTCTTCAATGCGTGTAATTTTTCTTCGAATCAGTTTCACAAAATGTCTTTATCAGAAAATGTTCAAATATTTCTAGTGAACTTCCGAGTGCAAAGGGTTAACTGTTCCGGGTTTTTGCAAGACCAGTGGTCACCGGTGATCGAAGCTTCGAAGTTCCTTGATAACAAATATAATCCATAGGATAATTGACGTCGAATACAAATATTCAATAACGTAAATAAGTAGATAATATTGTAACGTAAGAATTGTGGTAGCAGATAATTAATTATTCAGTCAACTTGTTAACACTCATCATCCATTCCCAACATGATCACCCTAATCATTCCCATAACATTCCCACCAATCCCACTTCTAACCAAAATCAAACGAACATACTATCCAAACCTCATCCACGTTACATTCAAGCCTCCAATAACTGTTTCCATTTCCATTCATTTCCATTCATTTCCATTCATTCCCACCAATCCCACTTCTAACCAAAATCAAACGAACATACTATCCAAACCTCATCCACGTTGCATTCAAGCCCCCAATAACAGTTTCCACTTCCATTCTCCACGACGGCGCACAAAGTCCCCATCGACTGCATCGCAAGCCCATCAAAGCGAACGCTGAACCGCGTGAAAGCGTCATTCAAACTCTCCGGACAAGAAGCGAATCACGAAACCGGTGTTCCCCCATCGCAAATCCCGCGGACCATCTGTCGGCCCCGAAAACCCGCGAACGTCGGCCCTGACCCCTACCCGATCGGCTTCTTTCCACCCGGTGGGGCCCGTGCACAATCCGCCTCGCCGGTTCACCCTCTCTTCGCTCGGTTCCCCCGTCTCGTGTAGCAACCTGTCGTTCGCTCGCGGCGTCGCTGTATCTGGCCAGCATCTCTCCTCCCAGCTCGTCGCGTCTCTTCGCGTTCTACCATCCTCCATCTCTCTCTTTCTCTTTCGTTCTCTCTCTGCGAGTTTCATCCCATCTCATCTGGTCTCTCTCTTTTTCTAGTCCTCTGCGAGAGTCCGTCCGCGACTCTCGGTGCCCCGGCCGCTCGTAAACTACATCCGTCTCTTTTTCCACGGCGTATACCGCGGGGCAGAATGGTAGGGGCCAGGAGGCCGACGGGGAAGGAGAAGAACCAGTCGTGAACCAGAACCGTCGGTCCTCAGAATCTCCCCAGTCACCTCTTCGAGTCTGTGCGGGGACCAGGCGCGTGGATTTCTCCCGATCCGCCGGTGTTGCGCGCTGTTCCGGCCGGTGATCTCGCGAGAGCTGTCGGCTTACTCGCTCGCTCGCTCGCTCGCTCGCACGCACGCACGCCAGCGCGCGCGCACTCGCGTGTGCCTCGCTCTCGTCCGGCTGCGACAACGGAACGATTGGATCCATCGATCGATCGTTTTGTCACGCTACGGGGTCCGCGCATGCTGATGATCCTACTGGGTCCGGAGACGATGATGGTCCTGGAAAGAGACACCTGGGGCGAGGGACCAACCGCGGCTAGGACTCTGACAGGTCGGTGAGTCGAGTATTACCGGGTTCTAACGTAAATATCTTCCGATCTTTTGCCGATGGATTCGAGGTTCTGTTTGCATTGGTTCTGGTGGAACAGTGGTGGGTTCGACTAAGTGGACGATTTTATTGTTTATTCTGCGTTTGGAGCTGACGTCGCGTTAACCCTCTGTGAGCCCATGTAACATTGAAGTCACATATTATATTGGCATCTTGTTGATTTATTTCATTCTGGAAACAAAGTGGTGAATAAAATTAAGAGACCAGTTAACTTAAACTTTTATACGCTCAGCCGTGGAAGTTTAACGTCGTTATAACTTGAAAGTTATGAAATATATTTGTTCGATGAAATTATTGAAAGGTACATTGTTAATTTGTATTCATATGTGGATATTTATTAATTTTGTACTGCATAGATTTCATGAACAAAAATTCGGTCCATAGAGGGTTAACGATAGATTTACGGAAGTAAGTTGATTACTAGGTAATTACGTGTTATTACGTATTTCAAATAACAGTCTGAGCTTTCGGAAATAATAGAAGTATGTTGACTCATTGAACCGATGATCCGATGACCGAAGCTTCCAAATTGCTGAAGAACAATTGCAATAAGATCGTTAAATAAAAATATTTAATAGGTAGCTAGATAATAGTATGACTATTGTGATATCAAATTAATAATTATTTTCAATAGCATTTTCCTGTGTTATTAAAATAACCATTACATAAAACGCTAGAAATTCTCGTGGCAATCAACGCGTTAACACTAGATTTACGGAACGATTCAAGTTGACTCTATAAACGTTGTTTACTAAACGTTAGGGTCAATTTCGATTGACACAGTTGCATGCGTATTCTAATCGTTGACCTTCAAACCTCTAATTTCTAAGATCCAAGTGAACGAATATCATATTTATGAGAACGATGCGATGAAGTGTACAGTAAATGTCCGTAAATCTAGTGTTAACTGATACATGCTTGTGGCAGTTTGATGTGTGGATCGAAAGTCGAAGGTTCTTGTTTATTAAAGTCATTCGCAGCTGTAGTTAGTCAGGATTAGATTTTTAGGGGACTTGCGTGGGTGTGCACGTAGTCTTTCGGCGTCTACGAACTCGCGGGAACCGGTTGAACGATGGAAATGTTTGGAATCTGCGAGATGGATCGTGACATTGCACTCGGCAGAAAAAACTGGCAGCGATTTATTGAGGATTAGCGCGAGTTGCGTAATCTGTCGGATGATGGAATCGTTATTGATGTTTAGATGCACGTGGTTTAGGGAATACTGATTTCCGCGAACTGCTGAGGAATGGTTTTTGATGGGATTGCTTGAATGAAACCATTGTTTTCGTGGTTTAATGATAATTGTGTAGTTTGTATTCGGAATCTGCAACTTATTTTAAAATGGCGGACGGTTTTGTGAACTATCTTTGGTTCCTTTAACTCGATTTCATTGAAATCAATTTAATCTAGAATATTCCAATGCTTCGAACATTCATTCAAACCGCGCTCAAACACAGTCTCGTCATTCATCTATTGCACACACATTCATCACTCATATGTATCTATTCTCACACTCAACTACATCCATTCCCACACTATTTTTAACACACTGCGCACCGGTAACGAGAAATTTCGTTTTCATATAAAGACGCTTAGCTATGCAACTTCGCTAATTACCACAGTATGGAGAAAATATAAAATTTCATTCGAATTATCTATTTAAAATATATTACACAACAATACGATATCTGAATTTTTCTATGTATAGCGATATAAGTTGACCTCAGTGAAAATTGCCATCCGCACAATTCAGTTTTCTGAAAATTAACTATTAAAAAAATTTTTAAAATCAATATAGTTTATAAGCAAAATATTAAATTCAAGTTTTTTTTAAATTTTACATATTTTGATACCGTTTCTTGATGTTCTCGGTGCTTTGTAACAACTATTCTTGACCATGTGTCCCTTAAAAATAATTTGTTACAAAAATTGTGTACCGCATGTAGTACACGTGGCACTGAACGTGTTAATAACTCAAGAGAATTGCCATACTCATTTTAAACGTATAAACGAACGAGTAAAGTTGAAATTGAATAGAGAGACACGAACGTTCGAAATATTTTATTAGCGACAGACAGTAATACGGTCGGAGACACGTGAATTTATTTCCAGAGTTAAACGTAGAACGAAACGTGGCCGCGATCATAGCTATCATAAAAACCGATCTGCCGTCGTGACACTGTTTCCGCGGCGATTTACGTACACCGGGATTTGCATTGTAAATGAACGACTGAAGATTGAATCGGCCTGGCAGCGCGTCGATCGCCGCCATTGTAAAGCCGCGGTGTCGTCGCGCTAATTGCTCGTGGAATTGAAAATCTGCTCTCGCGGCTGCGTGGGTGACTTTCTATTTCGAGTCGTCATTGGACTGATGTAAATGCTTTTTCGAAGGACGCCACGGTGAAAAAGCGTGGGTCATCCGTTCAATTTAAGCGGTGATAAACTGGCTAATGGAGCTTCACCTGGCGCGAGACATTCGCGGTTACAGCGAGACGCTTTGAAAACCGGGCACGAGATAAATGGCGATTGTCAAGGGATCTTCGATGTTTCATTAGTCAATCATACACGAGCTTATAAGCCGTAATCAAACGTAAGTGATGGTATACGTTCGCATGATCGAACGTTTCCGTCTTAACACTAAACTTGCCGGGCAGTTGAATTGACTTTTTCAAATTTTTCTGTAGCGACTTCAAGGGTGGATCTAAGTGAGACTCGTGATGAGGATTTCCAGATTAATTCAACAAAAGCGAGAAACTATTTTGCTGTTATCAATGTATTATCTTCAAATGAAGTTTCCACTTGAGAAAATTGTTACGTTTCTTTCAAATTGATAGTAAAATGGCTACACGAGCTCAGTACCGGAAGTAAATACGGCGAGGGGTTAACACTGGAACTACCAAGCAGTCAAGTTGACTTTTTAAAATTATTCCATAGAAACCCCAAGAGCATCTATCGAGACTTCCATTACTCGAAAGGTTTGCGTATTGATAAGTTTCTTTCGAAATTTCTTAGAGGACCTATTGGTTTTTCAATAATTGTAAAAGAAGAATGTAAGAATGAATCATTTTGACACTAGTAGTAGTAACATTCCTCCAGAAGTTGAAATCGTTTCACTTTCAATCGATTTACAATTCAGTTTGCGTATTGCGAGATCAATTTCTTGAATAATTTCTCGGAGAAACATTTATCTTTTTGATAATCGTAAGGAAGAAATCAGGAATGGGTCATTTTGACTCGTCTGGTAGGTTCAGTGGATTGTTTAAACGTTTCACTTTTCGAGGCGAAACATAAATGTGTATTAAACCTTAGCAGTCACTCGACATTCTATTTTATTGCAACATCTACTTGTTTTACCAATTTTTTCTATATTTATTTGTAGTATCACAATTGTACCATTTAAAGGTAACATTTCGATGACTTCCAAATATTCTTGAATAAATAGAGCGTCATATTCAGCTGCAATTGAATGAACTAACGGCGTGAATCTCAAAGTGAAAACCAAGAGCACTTCGGACCGCAAAGGGTTAACCAGTCAACTTCGACGAGTATACACGCCATCTTAAACTCAAAATGATATTAATTCTTTCAACGATAAATTATTCATTTCCTCAGATAAACATGCAATTGTTCTCGTTTTGCTTTAATTTTTGTTAGAATATATTATCGATGAATTTGCGTTAGACGAGTGTACATTTCATTATTTGATTTCATTGTGAGCATCATCAGAGATTTCTGAATTTAAATTCCACAGTTAACAGGTCGAAGCATTCATATCGATACTTCCACAAAAATATTCGTTAGAGAACCTTCAAGCTCTCACCGGTTTTCAAACGAATATCAACTGGTCGATGGTAAAATGATAAAATGGAATTCCCGGGCCGGTTTCGAGTATCAAGCCTTACAACGAAGCCAATCAATCTATAAAACCGCAAATATCTATAAGCTATCGTGGCCCATTAACGAGCCGGACGATATGAAAAGAGCGTTCGATGGACGATCGATTAATTGGCAGAAGTTATCGGAGTCACCTCGTTAGTCAGTGTCCAATCATTCCTGCCAGTCGATTTCCGAATAGCGCGAATGTATATTTTCACTGGATTTATTGCGTCGAGCAGTTTATTTGTATAGCATGAAATCACATCTTCAATTACTTAGTAACATTGAAACGTTGTATTCACTCTTTGAACTCGAGGGCCCCGGAGCGGAGCCATTTAGAATTTATCATTACGAACTGCGAAACATTATTATCAGTCCTCTGCGGGCGCAGATTCTTTGAAATGTAGAAAACCTTCGACAGATGAAGCTAAATTATATATTAACCCTTTGCACTCGAGAATATTTTTCTCAATATTCATTATTCCTTTATGAAATGTCAATGATATTTTTTGCAATTAAAGAAATACCTCGCATAAATTAAGTGACAGAACTATTTTATTCCGATGTTCCATGTGTTCGTATATTATATCAAAGTTAATATTGAATTTTCAATTGTACAATTTTCTCGAGTCGAATCAAATGACTGAAAGGCGCTTTTCAAGTGCAAAGGATTGCTTAAATAATAGCAAAAGCAGAAACTACATGCTAATCTCTTGCTGTAATTAAATCATTCGTCTCAGTCTTCCAAATATGAAAGTTTCATCTCGCCGAAATGCGACATTCGTCCGCAAAGGGTTAAATATGTTATAACATTTATATCTATAATCGATAACAAACAATGAAATATATTTATGACCTTTCTTTCATACGTGTATCGTTTGTTTATACGTTAATATGCTTGTTCTATTGAAATTCCTTGGAATTGCTGGTAATACCAATTAAAAAAAAGTTTCGAGTGCAAAGGGTTAATTTATCGATGCTAAAACATCTAATTCATCGATACCGAAATTTCGCGATAGACTTCAATGCATCGAACCTTATTAGCGCATCTCCTTCGAACCATCTCC